TAATATTCTACGACGTCTTCCAAGGGGAGCTCCACTACGGCTTCCAATGGGCTAAAAATTGAAGAGTAACAAATTCTTTGAGCGCTAAGGGAAGCTTAAAGAAAACTAGTTCGCGAGATCTTATCAGATCTTTTAAGATATGGCTTAACCGACATTTGGCACAGAGCCAACAAAAGCTCCTATCCCAAGAGACCGAATGATTAGTGGGTTTGTGAAAACAATACATGGCAATAAATCAAAGTGGGCGACATCATGACTTTTGCCGAATTTTTGAGCTTGAAAAAAGCAGTAATAGAAAACCACCATTCAGTACATAAGACATAAACGACTCTAGGAAGCAATTCGTTGATCTCGCCGCCAAATTTTTTCATCTCTGAATCACGGGCAATTTTGCGACAGCAGTAGCCCAATGTCCGCTATCAAGACTACGGCACCGTTGGTAAGAAGTACTCGGTCGGAAGATTTACGAGTTGCACTTTTAGCCATGTAACACAATTTGCTGCTTATATTGATTACAACCTTTACATTTTAAGCTCCGAAGCACCATACGCGGGTGAAGTCCGACAACGGAGGGGAGGTCAAGAGCTATAGGTGGGTGGGGCATGCATTAGAATGGGCGGAGTCATCCAATAAACACTACAACTCGGTGCCAAGAAGTCCTGGAGACAGGAGCCTTTTACCCTCTGTAAAAGCTCCGAAAGCAATCTTTCCAGGTTGATAAATGAAATTAGCGTAAAGTCAATAGCGTGTTCAGTCGTCTTCACTATTGTGAATGCAATGTATGTCATCGGCAATGTTTGTCACCACCCTTGTAAGATGGCGTCATGACAATTATAATATAAGGGCAGCTGCATCGTAGAAACGAAATAAACTAAGATCAGACTGAGCGAGAAAATCTAATGGTTATTTGTTTTTAGTCGTCCAAATCGAAGAGTATTTTGGTGGTGTAATCAGTAGCACGACTGTTGGGAAAGGGGGAAAAGGGGAGTTTCCCTATTAGGCGATGTTTTGCCAGAACTCAGAACACTTCCGGTAAATCAATTCTTTTGATTGAGGGAAAATTTTGAAGATCACTATCAATCGTGCTTTGGGTGTAATCTAGCATTTAGTTCAAAGTGCTTCAATGGTAGAGTGATAAGAGGCGGCGCTGCGATTGGTATGTGGTGTTGTAGATGGATTCTCAAGAGCGCACAGCTCTCTAGCGAGAATACGTTAAAAGCTCATTTTATCACTGCTTGCTCAAAAATCGAAAGTATTAGTTGTTCCGATTAAAAAAAATCATTTTACCGAGGAGCAAGTTTTTATCAAATATCATTTCAGGTAACGTATAATGAAACAAATGCACCGATTCACGCACTGTCTTGTGGACCTTGAAAGTATTTTTCACGTCGACGTAGTTGAAGGCATCTTACCGACATTTCGTTTAAATAGAATAAACATCAGTCAGTAAAGCAACTCACGGAAGCCGACGAAAAAAAGGGCAACGAATCTCCATGGGCGTTCGTTGTTTTGAAAATAAAAGAAGCCGAGTGACAAAATGAAGGATACGACAGGAACGCCCTGCGGGTTCACTCGCAAACGAAGCGAAAAGATCAAAAACTATGCAGAAACACAGGAATAAGGAGGTGGTGATATTCCTTGAAATAATTTTGCTAGACTTAACTATTGCGCCCTACGACGCCCTACGACGTTCACTGGCACTTAGCGATTTGCTGAAATATACAGACTAACAGAAACAGCGCAGTGGCCGAAAACGCTGTCTACTACATATATTTCTCGGATCAGCCTCCGATAGCCTAACGGCTTTCTAGTTTCACAACAAAAAAACTAGCTAAAAATAGGCTGACAACCTCTGGTAGTCGCCAAAAAAATCGAAAACAGCCACAAGAAAACTATAAAACAAAGAGAGATGGATACTCAATCAAAGGCCAAAACTTGTTCTTTGTAAAACTCCAGTAAGCAAGGTGGGAGGGCATATCTGCATTGGACATCGCAGACGAAATAGCCGCTACCTACTCGAAAACTCGCGTTGCGAATGTTTCACAAGAATGCTGGGTTGTGAACAAAACTTTCGCCCCAGGCGGGACTAGAACCCGCACCTCTCGCTTTCCGGGCAAGTGCGCTACCAGTTACGCTACCGGGGCACCATTTCATTCCCAACTCAGCTTTTCATGGTATACGTACCATAGCTTTCAGCACTCACACGTATAACGTGTTGAGCCGGTTAGCCGATATCGGCAGTGAACCGCGAGGCTGAAAGCTTTGTAGCAGTGAATGTTTACTTGCTTCCTGATTGCTAAAGCTTTCAGCTTCGCGGTCATTGCCGATATCGGCTAACCGGCTCAACACGTTATACGTGTGAGTGCTGAAAGCTATGGTACGTATACCATGAAAAGCTGAGTTGGGATGAAATGGTGCCCCGGTAGCGTAACTGGTAGCGCACTTGCCCGGAAAGCGAGAGGTGCGGGTTCTAGTCCCGCCTGGGGCGAAAGTTTTGTTCACAACCCAGCATCTTGTGAAACATTCGCAAGGCGAACTGCGGCCAAAAACAGCAGTTAACAAACAAAAACAAGTCAAAATCATTGCTAAAGCTCAGTAGGCCAGTTGCCTGAAACCTGTCTTCAAGATTAGGAGAAAGAGGAAAATGCAAAACAGACAATGGAAAGAAGAAAGGATTCTGAGAAGTACACCATAAACTAAAGTCTGTTAGAGTTAATATTCTAGATTGACTGACCTTTTACTTGCAACAGTCGAGCGACGTGAAATTTCTGTTCAGCCGTGGAAAACGCGTTCTCCAAACGTTCCACCGATGTACTTTCAGCGATTTTCTCCAAATCCACCAATCTATCACTAAAAATCACAGTTTATTATCACTGGGTATTACCAAATGCTCCCTTCATTGAGTCAGCGATTGCGAGTTCTTTTGGTCACTAATTGTACATAATCACTCTTGGGCATTACCTGTTAAATTTAATATTGCCCAGTCTGTGCTCGCTAATGGAAATCACATTGCTCAATGGGCTCACCGATGGTCTGAGACTGACAGATGGGACAACCTGTCGGAGTAGGGTGATGTTAGGAGCTTTTTGCCACGGTTAAGACTTTATTAAGTCTGTATGAACCATTAGGTCTCTATAAACTCGCTCTTATCGCAAAAGTGTCGCTTTGTTCCTCTGGAGGTGAAGCCTGCCTTTGCAGTAGACGGATTCATAGCCCTTCAGTATCCATTATCTTGTCCCCTGCTTTTAAGAGAATCAAGGATTTAGACGAACTCGAAATTGTGCAGAAGGATATTGAAGGCGTAGCCGTCGCGCCACGATGACGTGAAATCACATACAGATACTGCATCGTAATCCTTCGTCACTTCTGTGCACCATTGCTTCATTGCCTCGGTCAGCTGTAAGAATCAATATATTGAGGCGGGAAATAGTATGTACCGACATTGACACAACCTTCTCCTGCTTGATCGATCAGAACCGGAATTTTTCCAAAAATGCTTTGTACCAGATTCCACCATGTTTGCAGTACAGCTTTTTGTTGACTGTCGCACAATTCGGATGCGGACGTCTTTGTGTCGCCAATGCATGCCAGAATCGCAGCACAGTCGTCGAGGCGATTCCCAGTTGCCGCCTGAGATTGGTTTCTTATTCATCTCATCGCTCAAAACTATGAAACATTCGAGTCATCCGCCACTCGAATTTGGGAACCTTTACCGAATAGTACAGCTTCAGTTTAGAATCGTTTTGGCCCTCATCGCAGATGTGAGCTCTATCTATCTATAAGAAAATAATCACCAGGAAATATCAGTTTTTAGTTAACATAATCACAAAATGTAAAAAATATTTCCTCTAACAATAAGTTATGGAAAAGTTTAGTGGGGAAAAGTTGGTGAGTAAAGGCGGAGTTAACGATGAAAAGGCAGCTTATTAAAAATCAAGGAAGAGGTGGTAGTGCGGGAAATAATAAAAAATTGCGAGAAACGGTCAAAACCCGAGAAATGGGAGCCCTTTTCAGCGCGTAGATTACGCGTTGATGAGACTCTCATCCCATGCTGCCCTCTTTAACGCTAAATGGCTAGAGGCCAAGACGGCGAGAGAGTGGGTGTGTCGCGGCGACAGCGGTGAAGGGACGGCCATGCTGGATCACTATGGGCTTATCCTTCGCTGCTAATTGTGTGTCCGTTCGCACCCTTAGAGGGTTCCTTTGTCTTCCCACTAAATAGCTATTATACTTTCATGACCTTATTATGGAAACCTCCCGCAAGCGCTGCCGAATTTTGAGGAGAATTACCTTTTAATAAAGCATGGAGCTTTCGGATTGATCAATCTTCTTGTGGGATGCGCCACGCATTCCACTTTCGTTGGAATCGTTGTTGCATTTTGAATGCGAGTTGGCCTATTCGATGAATTGCAGGGCTAACCATTGAAAAAGTCAGTGATTAGCGTCTTCTCGGTAAGTCTTGATTCAATTTACCGAGCCCGGGGACGGAAGGGTTGGTTTGCCTGAAAGACGCACGATCCACCACGCTCTCCTCCCTAGACGCTCCTGTAGGCCTAGCGCAGTTTGTCCTTACACCATAAGACTTCCGCCTTACATAAAAACAACCACAACAAATCAGCTATTCCACTTAGCGACAAAAAGTGTCGCTGTAGAAGATCCAGCGTCACCCATTTGGTCAGATAGCTCATTGTTACCGGTACAAGTTATCTATTGGCGGGCAATGTGGTACTACCTAGGTCCTGACGGATCAAGGGTTAGGGATGAGGCGGTTGGTGCCAATCGGCCCCTTCTAGACCACGTGCTCTTCTATATGAATTGTTGCCACCACTACCACTCGAAGGGACATAAGTTTATTTCTTTGGTGAATTTGAATTCTCCTTATGATTCAGAGAAAACTCTGAGCTGCTTGAGAAATAACAACGATAGAACAAAGAAGAAGGCCTCGCTTGCTTGAAGGGATAATCTGATAATTCCCCTTGTAAACACATGCCGACCTCAGTTTGCTCACCTTGAAATCGCTGCCGAAAACACGGTTATTAGTCCCGGATTAGCAAGCAAAACGGAACATTGCGCATGAAGGGAAGACCAGCATTCAGCATACAATGTTCATAAGAGCGGAATCCTGTCGGTGGAAAGGAAACATCGGCTAGGGGAACCGTCTCCGAGGTTAACGGTCCTTTCGCACTATTCGAATGAGGGGCTCGCATTTGCGATTTTTGGGAGGAGTGTGTGGGGGGGGGGGGGCATGGTGGGGTTGAGCAAAAGTATCTACCTGTGGGGAAAGTGTTAATGGGGGTTGTAAAATCGGTTGTAGTTGGATTTGACAGGTTCCATAATCAATTTCTATAGAGACACCCATGATGGTGAGAGTGGGGGAGGAGGGATGTCACATTGGGAAGTCTCCTAAGGGTGATGGTAGTGTTGGGGGTAGCATAAGAACACTCCTTAAAAGGGAGGGGGCGCAAAATTTTTGGAAAGTGCGAATGCGGCGATTGACTCTGGCCGTGTCGCTCTTGCAGCTCTTGCACGCCTTGCAATATCGCATTCCGGCCGTGCCAAGCGGGCCTTCTATTCTTTCGGCAGCAGGTAACGATTACATGATTTCTCTGAAAGCGTTAGACTCTGCATAAAACAGAACTGGCTCCCAGATTTCAGTGTGGAAATCAAATGAGCATCTAAAGGCATCAGCAAATTCGAATCGAAGTGCAGATGCATGGCGCATCCAGAGAGGACTGATCAACGCCAAACATTCTATCCCTCATTCTGTGTGTGAAAAGCACAAGTAAATGTGATTATGTCAATCTTGCTTCGTTAAAAACGCCTCACAGCTGTTCACAGGGGGGGGGGGTGTCCGTCGGTGGCTTATGAGCTGTCAATGAATGTGCGTATTGGCACGAGATTTCTAGAATTTTCCAAGCCCTTTCATTCCCGCCTAGTGAGAAAAGTGCAGCAGGTAACACGATACCCAACACCTAGGTGCTCCACGATATTTGATCAGGACGACACTGTCACTTGGACAGGCTTGGACCTACCGCAGTGTGTAGCCCATGAATAAGCCCTGAGCCCTGTACATGTAAAGTTTATCCCTAAATTTTTATGTTTATTTTTGTAAATGTCATAAATCCTTGTCGGTTTGTAAGGTCCAAGTAGCAGAATCATCTATGAAATAACTAAAGATGAACGCAACGTCAAACACATCTGGGTACAATTCTATGCGAATTGATCTATTGATTTATACGTAGACCTTGTCTGGGAGGATAAAAACACTGACTTGTACATCGGCTGGCCCCCGCAAGTCATTGTATAGGCCACATCGCATTCAAACGCCACTACGAATGTACAAATGGAAGTAGAATGCGTGCCGCATCCCAAAAAGGGATTGATCAACGGCAAATGCTTTATCCTTTATCCTTTATTTATATAATTTTACGGAAAATGAGGTGGCAAAACGGCGCCTCGTCCCAGGAGCGAGGCCGAGGAGCCAGACCGTTGCTCGAATCACGCCAGTGCCAATCAAGCCTATCATCCCTACAGATTCGATTCACCGCCATCACTTTGAGAGGACAAAAGCATGAATTTTACATCAGTCCCGTTACTTATGATGGGCCATATCACATTCGAATGTATCGACGACTCTGAGTGAGAGCAGAATGCATTGTGCATCCCGAAAAATGACCAATCAAAGCCGAATGCTTCACGTGTCTACGATATCTTGATAATGCGAAATGATCAAATTTCTCTGTGCATCTTTGTTCCCATTATAGTGAAGTTTCCTGCAAATTCGATTAAAAAGTTTTGAGGGGCATCGTGAGACCACAAAATTGCAAGCATCCGGGAACTTTTCCAAAAATTGAGAAGGATTTGGTAAATTATTTCGAGGGCTTCGGGTCTGCCTGCAACCACTGGCTTCCTTTTGGCATCCAACTGCTCTTTGTTATTTCCAAATAAGTGACAAAAACGTGGTGGAGGTAGAAACTCTCTTTTTCGGCAATAGCAAACAGTACTTTTTACCCGAAGGGCGCGCTATATGGGAAACTTTGCTGTATAGTCGATTCTGGACTTGTTTAAGCCCTTAGGCTAGATAATAAAAGGATAAAGCATTTGCCGTTGATCAATCCCGTCTTGGGATGCGGCACGCAAATATCTAGCTACATTTGTACATTCGTAAGTGGGTTTGAATGCGATTGTGACGCCATCCCAATTAAACCGACCCCGGTGGATGGAGGCTTAGTTGGCCTGGACGGAGCACGACTCATGATTCGCCCTGGACCGCGCGCGTGGCAAGCGTGCCACTTCCCTACACTACACCACTTCCGCCCTATAGACTAGATAATAGAGAAGTACAATTTCCAAATTCGGGTACCGGCCAAAGAAACGGTTAACCTAACCTTCAACCCACTCTTTACAACCCCAGCGTTAATGGATCTTCCGTGCTTCACTGTTTGCTGATCGATAGCCATCTCAAAGCTGGCCAGCTAGCAGCTGTGTAAAACCCCGACGACTACGACAGCTCGCCGCCAGTGATCAACGTGTGTTAAATGTTTCGTGAAGGATCACTACTGCACACAGGAAGGATCGATGAATCATTCCTATTGACTTTTTCCCGCGATTCGATCAATAGTCATCTGCGATCAATAACTTGGGCAAATCTATTTTTGGAACTCTAAAAATTTATACTGATAGATCAAATGAGTAATTTATGATAATTCAATTTAAATTTTATAATTTCAAGTTATTCATGCGAATAGAACAATTAAAGGGTAAGCTCCTCTCTACAATTCAAAACATGGGAATCGATCCATTCTCCAGAAATGAGTGTAAAGCAGGAATGACCTCAATAAGTTGGATAGTCTCATACTTCAGCAGTCTGTACATATATATTTTGTCGGCAAGGAAAACTACCATTAAAAAAATGAAAAGTCAAAAGTATCGATTTTCATTGAGCTTCGAGCCATATTTCCCCTAGCGGAAGCCTATTTCATGGCCAGAAATAGAGTTGAATGGCCAGATATATTACAGAACACAGCTGATATTCAGTGGCATTGTTTCAGCCCATAAAAGATGACACCAGTCAATTATGATGATAAGCATTTCCGATTGGCATAGTCGTGAATCGATGCTGATTCAATTATATGCTCAAATAAAGTTACTAAAATGAAAGCGCCGGAAATCGGAATTGTTCAAAAGCCAATAACTCTAGCTAACTGACACGGCCACAGACATTTCCGATTCCCGACTATGCCATTCGAAAGTGCTTGAAAGCCAAGAAGCAGAACTAACTGACGTAGTCACAGAATCCACAGTCTTTTCGACTTCATTTGAACGTTCATGGATTTTGATAAGGTAAAAAACCAAAAGAATAAAAAATAAAGAAAAAGGGAACTAAAAATATAAAATATAAAATATAAATCTGAACATATAAACAAGACATACCGGTGTAGTGGAGGTCACGATTTGTGCAACAGAGCTCAAATATTTCAATTCGCATAGATCTTTGAAATCTCGTAATGGTTCGTTTGCCAGTAATGAATTACCCCAACGCACGTACACACTTTCCTGGATCTCGTATATGTTATCTGAAAACGGAACAGATCAATACGCATCTTTTGGCTTGTCCACGAAAACTCTCAATTATGTCATTTTGTTTACAAGCAATTCCTAGTGATTCCTATTATTAACCTATCATTGAGTATGATTATAATTATGCTCCCGGCTTTTTTTGAATAAAAGTCAGTCCAGTTCAAAAACTCATATCGAAAAAAAGATTTGAAAAAAAGAAAGTAAAAAAATGGGTGAAAATGTAGTTCGAGGGGGCCACTTTTCCGTACTCTCTAACAAAGGATAAGGTAATACGTTAAATGGCTCATTTGCGGTGCACTTTTGATAAGGATCGGTGAATGTCCTCATATTCCAGGCGTCCTGCCCATATCCCATCCAACTGTTTGCACCTGGTTATCCACCCTGCAACTCTCTCACCCTTGCTAGGGGAAAATGTCCATTCCCTGGTCCAGGACCGCTTCTTTCGGGCCATGACAGGCGAAGATGTGAAAGCATCCCAGGGTTTTTCCACATTACACCGATACTTATCAGACGCATGTTCAAAATGAGTCGATAACGTATCATGAGCGCTAATATTCTTAGCTTTGATATTGTAGAGTACAATGGAATGGCCCCCTCGAACTACATTTTCACCAAAAAATGTTTCAAAGGTAGTTTTTAGAAGCAGTTCAAAGTGCATCTTCAAAAAAAAATATACTTTTCCTATCTTCAGTTTTCGAGTAACGAATTCCAATACCTTCTATGTTGCACGAAAATGTTGTTTTGGCGACCAAGCAGCCAAGTACCGCCGCCTTCCATGTCGCCGCGCAAAACGAGAAACTTAGAGGGCTTGTTTCTTGTTTCGTTTCATCCCATTTGTGAGAGTATTGTGGCACGCCCAAATTACACCCAGGGAGAAAGGTAAAGGAAGGTGTCTTAAAGCAACAATCCAGGAACGAATTCGCGGGTAAGGACCACCTATAATGACGTTGCAGGTGAGAAGTTGGTCAATGGAGAAAGAAAAAGTAGAAAAAAACGTCGGGCAGGGGCTTAGACAGGGACTCCCCGGCCGTTTAGGGAGATGTGTGTTGGACGAGTTGTCCGAACCTGCCCGTAGTACATGCGCTCCAGTTGACTGCTGGCAAATAGCCATGCATGCTTGCAAATACATAACTATTTGCCAGCAATCGAAATTGAAGCGCTTCAATTGGGTTCTTATGGAATCGACCTCATACAGCGCGGCGGTCCGCGACAGTCGTAGACAAGCGCTCTGCACAGCGAATGTTGGAGCGATCCGCCTCTTTATGGGTGATCCGCCCCCTCCAAGAGGACTTCGACCCCTTCCAGCGCATTTTAGAGGTAGGTTTTGATTAAAGACATTTCCTATAAACTTTAGTTGGGCTGGGGCATGTTTTGACCGCCTAATGACCAAGTAGTTGAAACCCTGCCTGGACTGTTGCTTTAAGGCGAAGTT